AAAAGTGTTTTCCGAAAGCCCATCATCTCAACCCCCCAAAAAGCACCTCTTTTCTTTCAGCGGAATGAACATTTCGTCATAAGCTCCTTTGAAAGCCCATTATCTCCAATAGGGACCATTTGACCCACTAATAGGAGGAAATAGCAAGGCATTATCTTTCTTCCCTTTTTCTTCATAACCTGTTGCTTCATTTTCCTATCAAAACAGTCCCCCAAACGCTATATGTGCTCATAGATGAAAAACTTTTTGAAGAAGGATGTACTCTATTGAAACGGAAATTCTCAACAATTGAGTGTCCATGCATCATAATTTATAACCTTGAGTTCGACATTCTTACAGGTTATGATGTCTTCCTTGAAGGAGCTGCACCAATAATCAGATAATGAAGAAGAGCATTCAGCCATGTGGAGTTGAGAACCATCAGAGAATCCTTCGGAATGCGGACAACGGAGAATAACCCTTCCACCCGGTGGAGCTGGGTATTCTCCGCTCCAATCCTCGAAGGATACCTTGGCGTTCTGAATCTTTGGATGCTCCGTCAGGCACAGTCCTGTGTTTTAGACAGACACATTTATTCCTTAAGTAAATTACTGAAAAGATTTTCACCCACTGACTCACTCTGAACGTAGGATGTAAATCCGTTGTCCTCCACAAGGTCACTTTTCCCATTGAGAACCAGCTGGCATGAACCGTCGGATTCACGATAGTTGAAAGCATAGCAGGGAGGTGTCTGAAGAATGCATCTTTTGCTGCAAGTTTTGAAATTCTCTTTGTTTATTTCCAAAATGATGTTCTCGTATCTCTTCCCTTGATGTACAGCATGATGGACAACAATATCATTGGAGATCACACCGTGCAAACCGGTATATAGAAAAGCGATGATGAAAACTGGCTTCGCGGCACAGGAGAAAAAGTGATGTTCTCGTATCTCTTCCCCTGATGTACAGCATGATGGACAACAATATCATTGGAGATCACACCGTGCAAACCGGTATATAGAAAAGCGATGATGAATACTGGCTTCGCGGCACAGGAGAAAAGAAAATCCCTAGTCATGGCTTATAGTCCATGGGAAGGGGCAGAATGACCTAGATTGTATACGTGGCACAGGCAACTGGGCTGAAGATCATCAATCAGACACCAAGTCAAACATTCTTTTCATTGATTTGTTGCGTAAGACCGCACCAAGGTAGGTTGGCCCTGTAAGGAAACTCTCTCAGTAGGGCACAGCTGCCTTTACCGGCAGGAAACTTTGTCCAAACGGAACTTCTTATTTTCCATAAGAAATGCATGATATCTTCACTTCAAAATCCCATCAGGGAGAAGTTACATTTGTCACTTGTATAATTTCACAAATTTCGAAGTTGAAAGTTAGTTTTACTTCACAACTCTAACTTTCGCCTGGATGACGAGAAAATCTAGGTTTTCAAAGAAAATATTACCTTGCTAACTTTCTTGTGTCCATCACCCTGCTCAGAATTATCCTGGGTCCTATTTGGGTGGGCGGCTACTCACTTTGGTCGAATACCAAATGGTGATTTGCATAATACACACAGCGGAATACGCGATGTTAGTCTACCGATTGGACGCCGTGTCAAAAGACGTGGGATCCTAGAAGAGCCTTACCAGCGGAAACGAATGGTGCGAAGCCCATCGGAAGGTCAATGTATGGTCTTTTCCCCGTGCTGCCCGCAATGAAAGAGTCAAGGTTGACTAACTACATCAATAAGTCATCCATTGAGTGATTTACTTCTTGCCACTGAAGCTTTTCAAAATCAAAAACAGTAATTGGTGCGGTAGCGCCTATTACCTTTTTGCAACCCCATCCCATATACATATAGCAAAATACTAAACATTCTGTGTGGGACGATTCCAGGAAAAGGCCGCTTTTATGTAATGTGAGAAAAGTGCGACCAACGCCTCCATCTTTTGGCAAGGAAAACATTAAAATTCCCTGAAACTTCTAAGTTCATGCTGTATCGGAATGTTGTTGTTACGGTGTTGATGTCAAGAGTGTCAACATTACCTCAATGTTGATAACAAATGTTGCAATAAGATTCGTAGAAGTGTCGCAGCAACATTTCAAGTGAAAACGTTGAAGCAATGTTTTATCAATGTTGTGCATCATGTTGATGTCAAGAGTGTCAACATTACCTCAATGTTGATAACAAATGTTGCAATAAGATTCGTAGAAATGTCGCAGCAACATTTTAAGTGAAAACGTTGAAGCATTGTTTTGTCAATGTTGTGCATCAACTTGCAACATAGTGCAACATAGTGCAACATATGCAACATTTCAGAAACGTTTCATCAATATACTGTGTTACTTGGGTAGAATTGCCCACATCTCATTTCCAATACCTCAAAGGTGGAATGGTCAAATAAGAAATGAACTTTCCCTAGTAGCCAATAGCATTGAATTATCATTGTTTCAATGTTAATTGTTGCAGTCCTATTACTAAGTAAAAATCCATGATGTTCCCATTCTTTAGTTAAATCCCCAAACTATGGGAGGAATTTTCGTTTCTTTGATGAAGTATACGGCTATCCGGGTCTTTCGGGATCCATTGCCTCATGATCCATCAGTCACAGAGCCACTAAACTCCATCATCCAGGTGCCCCACCACTATGAAACTAAGGTTTGAAGGTTAGATTTAGAGGTCATACCGATCCAGCCTTGCAAATACAATTCGCTCTTTAGTATGATGAATGTCGAGATTTGAGCAAGTCTTCAAGTCATGATTCATTAGGTTTAAAAATAGAATATATATACCTAGTTCTGCCATAAACACTATTACAAGATTTACACGTTCCTTGCATTCTAGCGAAAGAAGCTAGAAACTTGTAACCTAGTAATCGTGCAGTGTATTATCAGCCATATTGTTTGGTAACATTTTGGCTGTTGTGTTGCTTCCTGTAAACATGGAGTGGGGTGACAAAAGATAATCGCATAGCAATTATTGCGCTGCACAAAGTGCGTCAGAAACTTGCAATCATTTCAAGACTTGGAATCAGTCGGCAGTTTGTCTTTCGAACTATCAAACGTTACAATGATACTCTGGGAGTACGAGACCGTCCTAGATCTGGACGTCCACCTACTGCCAGAACACCACGAGTCACCAAAGAAGATAGCAACAGGATTCAGCGAAATCCTCTACGCAAGCAGAAAGTGATGTCCAGTGAAATGGCCATCTCGACTAGAAGCACGTATCGGTTGATTGACCCTAATCCGAGCAAGGTGAGTCCGCTGGACTCACCATGACATATTTCGGTCTATTACTGTCATTATTTTTTACGTAGAAAAATGAGCATTCGTGACTTCGTCACCTTGTTCGTGCTCTTCAAAAATACAAATAAATTTACAAAGAAATACATACCGTAACCGCAGCAAACGGCCGTATTTTACATGTGAGTCTGACAGACTCACCTTGCCCGGAATAGGTTGTAAAAAAAGCTTGCCCGGATGAGGGTTAAATCAGACCTAAGGATGGGTGTAAGAAGCACAGGACACATGCTGACTCCATCTCTGAAAGATATCAGGAGGTCGCGATCGAAAGTGCTGCTGCAAAGGTACGCGCAAAACAGACACCATAAAATCCTTCTTACTGATGAGAAAATCTTCACTGTTGAAGAAAAATTCAACTGGCCAAATGGCCAAGGGTATGCCCACAACTCTTGGGAAGATGCAGAAGTCATCCATGAGGTGAAGAGAGGTCACCATACGGCTTCTGTCATGGTTTGGTGGGGGGTGAGTTATGAGGGTGTCACCAAGCTGCATTTTTGCAAGCAAGAAGTGAATACATCAGCCAAAGAAAGGAAAGGAAAGAGGTATTATTTAAAAAAAACCTTGTAACAGTATTCATGACAGGACTTGGGGGGTATTCAGTACTTACTCTACTATTTGCATCTACAACCATATCACCTGACGCCAAAATCTCTCTGGATAGATTTTGAGTCAGACTTGTGACTAAAAAATGTATTTTTTTCAAATCTGAGCAATTTGAAAAAGTTAGGTTAGGTTAACCCATTTTTGGCCTTAAACCGATTTTGGATGAAATTAATATGCATGTAATCAGTTTCTCTTCTGAACATAAATTGTATATTTTTATTATCCAAATGTGAAGGGTTTCAAAAAGTCATGTTACGTTAGGTTAGGTTAAATTATTTTACTCTTTTCTAATGGGACTTTCAATAAATGCCTTCTGCATAACCAACAACTTAGAATGATAACAGTTTTGGAAGTAAACAGTGAACTTTAGCTGGGAATTGGATATTCTCCGAAAAAAAAGTTGTAATTCATTAAATAGAAAGTTAATTATCCGTCGATACATTGTGACCCAACTTGTGGGTTAGGCAAGGAGGAATTATCTGTCCGCTCGAGAATTGTCCATGACGGAAATCAACTCAGTCCAGTCCGATCATGACACTCAGTTCAGCTAAGAATGCAGCTATTACATCAAGCATGAGACACAGCCCGACCACAACCACACTACACAACCAGAAAAAAAAAACTTATTTTCCTGGGTGTGATAATCATAATTACGATCAAATTATAAGAAAACTCAAAACCTGCTTTCAAGACAAAAANCGATCAAATTATAAGAAAACTCAAAACCTGCTTTCAAGACAAAAATTATTTATAAATGACAATGTGGCTTCTAGAAAGGGAAATTCATAGCAGGCGACATACTCGTACAAGAATAAACACCAAAATTATGATCGGATGCGGATGGCATAGAGATGAATGAATATCAAGGGTTCGGTGGTGTAATGGTAGCACACCTGACCGGCAATCAGGAGGTCCAAGTTCTAGTCCCGGCCATTCCCTGGCCTTCGGTCATTCATGCCTTCCGTCGTCTCGTCTATTTTAGCCCCACCCTGGGAACGTCTCTCGTACTCATTGGAAATCAGCGCAAGTGTTAGGCATATGCATCATATGCCCTCGCAAATTCGCCCAAGGTGCAAAAATGTGGTTCTATATATGACGCAATAGTTGAGGCCACCCTCATTTGAGGAGGCCTTCCATTGCAGTATAATTTCGGACGCTTAGTGATTAGCCCATCTTCCGTCGAGAAGGGTTGGGGGCAGCGTCAGGAGTCTCAATGCACAGGGCGCCGAAATTAATAGGGCCGGTCCTGGTGGCAAGAAATAAACAGAAATTAACACTTTTCAACAGTTTTCTTATACATTGAAGAAGCCATGGGCACCGAATTGCACGAAGGACTCAAAAAAAACTCCTAAAAATCAATTGATCAATAAATATCCTACGGGTACCCAATTTCATGAACGACACAATACGTTGTGTCTCAGTAAACAGTACATTAACACCTTTTAACCAAGAGTAGGAGTGCCACAAATAGCTGTTATCTTCTTTACACAATTATTATACATCATATACTAGATGTAAGTCAATAATATAAAAAGAAACCTGTGCTTCATGGCCAAATACAGCGATGAAAAAGTTCTGTGGCACTGTTACCAAAGCAAAATGAAGAAGATGGTAAATCAACAAAACAGAGAAAACATCCACAGATACTGTCTCACATAAAGAACTTCAATTAACGAATGCAAAACAAAAGTAATGATGTTCACAAATAAACACCAACATAGGAGAAGAAGAAAGGTCCAACCAGAAAAGAAAATCATTACTCCAGAAATGACAGCATCATTTCTTGGATAAAAATCACAAGATTCCCCATATATCTTCACTGGACATCGACGAAAAGCACA